CCGCAGCGATCCCCCGGCCACGCCAAGGCCACCGCCGTGGCCCAGCTGGAACTCTCCAGGTCCCCTGGTCCCATGTCCTGCCAGCTCCCGCCGGCCTCCGAGGGGGCAGATGAGTGGGGGGCAGTGTCAGACTCAGAGCCATGCCCACTGTCTGCCTGTGCCCACACCCCTGCACTGGGCACCTCGGAGCAAGTGCTCTGGGATGGGGATGAGCCAGGCTGGGGGGCTGCAGCTGGCTCCTCACACTCTGCACCACCAGGCACTGCCTTGGGGCTGCCCCCAGCCCCTGGGGACGTGGGGCTGAGGCTGGCACGGTGGGAGGTGTAGGGGGATGCCCGGCGCAGGCGGTCCAGAGGGATCTGCACCACTTCAGAGAAGCTTTCGGTGAGCTGGAATGGCCCCTGGGCTTGCTGCAGCTGCACCTGCGATGGGGGGACAGGTGACTGGGGGGCAGGCACAGACCCTCTGTGTTCCCCAGCACTCAGTGGTGGGGGGGCTTCAGGAGTGACCCTGGGGCACAGGGACTGCCCAATGCTCCCCCTGCCCCAAACGCCAGCAAAGCCCCCCAGGGCCATTCAAGGATGCAGTGGGGCTGAGCAGGCCCCCCACCGGGTTTTCAGCTGTTGCTGGGCACCACCCGTGTAGCTCTGCTGCAACCCAGTAGGGGGGGTGCCTGCTTAGCCCCGCGATGGGACGGGGCAGGGTCCTTACCAGTGGGAGGTAGTCGTGGCTGGCGTGGTTGCTGGAGCACTCGCTTCCTGGGCTGAGGCAGTGAGGGCGCAGTGCCAGGCTGGGCCCCCTGCGCCTGCTCAGGCTAAACCTGGGGGCAAAGGGGCAAGTTAATGCAAGGGAGTGATTCCTGAGGGGCAGCTGAATCCAAGCCTGCTGCAGAAAGGGGATGGAGCAACAAACCCCACTTCTGCTGCAGGACCTGGCAAGGGACATCGAACCTGCGCCAACCAAGAAGTGGCACTGTGCCCCTGAGCCTGACGATTTTTGCCACCTCCCTCGCCCATACCTTACCTGGAGCCAGCAAGGTTCTCCGTAGATTTCTGGGAGCCTATGGAAGTGGTGGAGGGGCTGGTTGGAGGCCCTGTGGTGGGAGAAAGCTGAGCATGAGGGGAGCCACTGTGCTCACAGAGGTGTGTCCTGCTCCCTGCCTCCTGAAAGGGCAGTTCAGCCCATGTGCTGAAGGCAGGTGAGGGCTCAGCACAGACTCCAGCTCTCAGCCACCAGCACCCCCTGTCCCCCACCACCCCTCCAGGCCCAGGACTCACCGTTGGAGCAGTTCTGCTTTTCCCAGCCGTAGGTAGGGGAGGAGGCAGTGACTGGAGACCCAGGGGTCTCAGCTCGCTCTGCAAAATAGCAAAGCTCTGAGGGCCCTTTGGCTCCCAGGACCCTCAGGGCCCAGAGTTACCACCCTTCCATGTTCCCCCCAGTGGGGGACAGAGATCAGTGTTTCCTCATTGTTCCTTCAAGGTTCCCAGGCACCTACAGTGCTGCAGTAGGGACCAGCTCTGTGCAGCCATGAGCTGAGTGACCCCAGGGGCCCACAGTGCTCAGGCAGATCTCCAGGGATTGTAACGCCCATGTAAGGGGCTGGGTTGTTACCTGCAGCAACAGGGGCCTCATCCTGCTCCTCCCCATCCCGCTGCTGGCCCAGATCGGCCAATGAGTTCCTGTGCTGCCAGCTCCCTGCTGGGACAGCTCGTGGCCGGCTGGACGAGCCAGCTGCAAGGGATAATGTCACCTCAGCCCTCTGTCCCCTCACTGCCCCCTCCCCAGCATGCCATGCCCCCCAGGTGTACCTATGCCCCACACCTCAGGGGCTGTGGGCAGGGCTGCTTGTGTGGCACCATCCATGGGCACCAGGCGAGTGTAGAGGGAAGGCACATTGCAGGCTTTGCTGGTTTGCATGGCTTTCAGCCGGAACCGGTGGGCGAAACCTGTCCAGAGTGAGGTGGTTAGAGGTGGGGGCGGTGCTAGGCACGTGCTGAGGTCTGGGGGGCACACATACTGGCACCCACCCTGCTCCAGCTCAGCTTCTCGCTGCGCCGCATTCTCATTGTCCCGGATGATGGAGCGCGCTGCCAAGCGGTGCAGTGGCTTGTCCCAGGCCTTGGCTGCCCATCGTGGGGGGTCTTCCTTTCCCAGTCCCTCTGGGGCCTGCAGCAGTGGCTCTAGTGAGGCTGTCACTTCCCAGGACACTGGCTTGCCAGCTCGCAGTGCGTGGATCACCACCTGGCAGCGCAGGGGCAGGCCAGCATCACCCACACTGGGCTCCCCAGGCTCAGGAGCTGGAGAGGCACTGAAGAGGTAGGAAGGCTCCATCAGCATGTCCCAGTCTAGGTGGGTGGGTGAGAGGAGATTATCTGGGCAACAGCAAGATGTGGGCTCAGTGAGGTGGGAGCACCCTTCCATCCCCACTGCCCTCATCCTCTAAGAGCCAGCACGCACTTGACTCCACTGTGTTGGACTGTAGCCGCTGTTCCCAGGGTCCCAGCTCATCCAGCCGCCCCACCAGGGACTGGTTCCTCTTCTGTGACACTTTCTCCAGGGCCTGGCAGAGCCGGTGGGCATCCAGCTCCCCATGTGGTGAGGAAAAGCTGCGGCCAGCCAGGGCAGCGCGTGCCACCGCCTTCTTCCGCCGCGCCAGCTCCTCCGTGCTCAGGGCCACCGTCACCTGCGGCGGGGGAGGCTGACGGCCAGCCCAGCAAAGGCAGTGGCACAGAGCCCAGACCACGCCAAGCCACGATGGGGCACCTGTGGCCCTGGCTGGCTCTTGACTGGCACTACTGGCTGTCGCCCAGCCCTGCTGCTCTGCAGGCTGGCACCCGGCAGGCTCCTGGGGCTGTGGGCGATGCTTGCCCAGCTCCATTGGCATGTGGGAAGGACTGACAGCACAGAGACAAGAGTCTGCAAACATCCCCGTGGGCTGACTCAGGAGAAGTTGGCGGAGGGTTTTGTGTGTGTGTGGTAGGGGCTTAGCTCAGTTGCTCAGGCTAGATGAAGCTGCGGTGGGATGCAGCCTCCAGCACAGGGTGATGTCCCCACACTGAGATGCTTCAGCTAAAAGCTGCAGCAGGGCAGTGGCACCCACGCCACCTCTCGCCAGTGAGGAGCTGGGGGAGGATCATTTATGTGGCTGGGAAATCACTTACGCTTGACATTTCGGCAGCAAAGGGCACCAGCTGTGCTGTTGTGCGGCGGGAGCGGGTTACCTAACCCGTGCCACTGGGAAGGCACGTGTCCTGGAGCAGGGTGACAGCTGGCCTCACCCTGCCTTGGGGCTACCATCATGGGGGGGGGAGGGCTGCCTCTCCCCATCCCAGCAACCTGCCTGGATTTAAAACCCCTGTATGAAGCAGCAGGGACATGGCCCATTGCTAACGAAGCATCAGGCAGCATTGGCTGAGAGCTGAAGAAGCCAGGCAGGAGCTTAGCCAGCCCACCCCCTCCTCTCCAGCTTGGTGGACTCATTACCTGATACCAGCCCAGCTATTCTCACTTGATTTCAGCAGCATCAATGAGGATCTGAGCTGGCTGGGGGGTTTTGTTAGCCATCCAGCTGAATACTGGCCTGGAGAGCTGGGGGACAGGCTGTGTGGTCCCATTTCAGTAGGCAAAACCACACAAGGTGTCTCCTTGCAGCATCCATGGCTGATCCTTCCTTAAAATCCAGGCTACAGTTCTCTGGTTTCCAACCCAGTGACCACATGTCCAGGCACAATGGGACAAAAGACCCCAGCTAAGCTGGGAGCAACCAGCCCCATGCATGAAGCCCTTGTACCCTATTGGCATCCTTACCTTGGGGCCAGCAGGGGCAGAGGGCAGCGGGGCAGATTTGGTGGAGGACTCACAGAGGGACAGGCTCTTCTGGCCCTGCTGGGAGGTGGTATCAGCACCGGGGGCTGAGGAGCCACCCTCAGGGGCCACATCGTGGGAGCCGGTGGACTCGCTGCTGGTGGAACTGCAGGAGAGCAGCCCCCGGCTGTGGTCGGTGCTGACAGAGCAGTGTGTCAGAACATACTGCTCCTGGATGTAGGAGGGCTGGTAAATCCGCTTCCAGATGTCTCCTCCTGAAACCAGATCTGCACCTGCCCGGTGAGAGCAGACTCTGTCAACCCATGGCTCCCACATCTTCCTCCAACCCCAGCTCTGACCCCACTCACTCCACTCTGACACCTCCGTGCCCCCAGCCGAAAGCTCCAGGGAATCATTCCCGGATCCTGGCATGCTC